GGGGGGGAAGGGGGAGGAAACGTGTCCAAGACACTCAAAAAGCAAATTTTACTTCCAAGTGTCTCGACACTTTTGTCGTTCATCATAGGTTACTAACTTTTTTATTACATGGCACTTTGAAAATGAAGACTACATGGCTTGTGACTGTTTCCATGGAAATAGTCTGCATGGCAAAATCCCAACCAAGAAAGGACCAATCAGAACACTTGGATTTACCTCAAGACTACCTTGCCATCTAATAAATTATGATATTTACCACAGAACAGAGGCATAATCATCTTGGTAAGCAATATTCAACTTACTCGTATTTCTTGACAACCTGGTACAGAGTGAGCAATGCACCCATCCAGGTCCCTTGACTGTTCTCGGCCAGAAATCCATTGACTTTGTCAATCACTCCAGGCCACTTATCAGGAAAGTCAAACCGCAGGATCTGGCTAACACACACTGTGAGCTGGATTCTAGAATTCAAATGCGATAAGATCACTCAAACTTTACAAATTCTTGCACAAAGCACATATACAGTTGTATAATATGCCAGACATAACTACATGTAGTTGATGACATCAATAATCAATGACATCAATAATATTGATGATTAATCAGTGGTCAATCAGTGAGTAATCAGCTGATCACTCATTGAGTACTGCCAATAGTCAATGAGTAATCGATGAGTAATCAATGCTCCACAAAATTTTTAGTCATTGATGTCACCGATTAGTCATCAGGGGTCTTCCAATGGCATAAAATTCACCAAAAATGCAACAAGTTACACTTTATTTTATTTAATAATATTAATATCAACAACATGATTTCCTGCCAATGATACTGTTGATGTGCTGGACTCCTCATCACAGCCTCACTGTCTTCTGTTGTCGATCAAACTTCTGCCATTCTTGAATCAAGTTTATTCAGTTTAGCAAATTCTTATATTACAGAGGCAGTAAAATTAATGACTAGTCAATGGATAATCAATGAATAATCAATGAGTAATCAATGGATCAATGGGTAATCAATGCTCCAAAATTTTTACTCACTGAGTATTGACAACAGTCCATGAATAATCAGCTGATTACTCATTGATTAATCATTCATGTCATTGATTAGTTATGTCTGGAATATGTTCATGAAAGTCAAATAACTTACAGCTAACACCTCAAGTCTATGACCAAGAGTATTTAGTCCATACCTTATTAGCTCAGGAGCATGGATAACTGCTTCTACAATATTTTCCCTGATGGTCACTTTGTCTTGCTCAGCAATAACAAATGGAGCAACACCGTCAATTAATTCTGAAGGGTCTCTGTCCTTCCAATACTGAGCAATCATATTCTTAAGGTAAATTCCACCTATAAGTGCAATCATTTAAACCAAATGATTAGTCTGGGTAAAAGCCTAGCGTGCGTTCCCTTGGGTTGATCTGGATCAGGATCAGTGATCCACGATCACTAGGATGATTGTGCATCAAAGAAGCAAATGAATCCATGACCAGAGTTGATTCACTGGTTCCTTTGATGTACCATGATTGAGTGATCTTGGATCACTGATCCTGCTCCAGATCACCCCAAAGGAACGTACCCCTGGTGTCTGATCAGGACAGTACTCAGCAGACTGGTGCAAACGTTTTAATACCACAAATCAACTTGCAGTATTTTCGAGACATTTTTTCTAACAAACTGACCTACTGGTGAGTGACATGTGAAATTTTACCATACAAAACAATTTCTAAGTAGGACTTTTTTCCACTCTAGTGTCAGTTTTTAGTACAGATTTTGTTATACGTCTCAATACAGCTCACAAATTTGGAATTGAACGCTTAAAACTGTTAGTAATGGAGAGGTTAAATGAAGTAAATCCGAGACAGAGACAACTCAAAAATATTGCTTCTTTTGAAAATTTGAAATATTTATTTGCCAGTATCATTTTTGCTGCTTTAGTATTGGTCATCACTTAGGCCATGTTTATACGGGCAAATGAGTGCTTTCTTCCTACAATGTAAGTTCTACAGTTATTGAAAGTCTTTCCCATTATTGTTTGCTTGATTCTCATAGAGTTAACGTGATGTGAACACCGTCCTACACTTTATAGTATGTTAAGTTCCTTATCTTGATACTTTGTTTCCACGTCGTTATATACTTATGTACATGTACATTTTACACATATACTGAATGAACCAGATTGATATACGCTTACGTGCCAAATACGCTTAGTATAGTGTCTACATGTCCATAGGTCCACATGTTCTTATCAGAACAAAACTGAACAAGATTTCTTGCTATTTCTGTAATACGACAAATATGCCCATGAGGCCATTTTGAGTGTGTACGATTTAAAAATAAGTAAGCATGGCTTTAAAATTTCTCACCAGACTGTCGCACAGGGATTTGTACTTCATTCGACATGACCACTTGAAGCAGGAGCGAAAGAAATCCCGGAAGCTTGTGAATCTGCAACGAACGCCGGGCACAACTATTTATGGACTTTAATCTCCAACATTGTGACAAAATCATGACCAAGAATTATAACCATGTCATATAAACGCGAAGTTGAGGCTCCTAGCTTTTTGTTTAACTTTTACGATCATTTTACGATCAGAAAATTGGGTAAGTTCAAGAGTCAGGTTTACGGTCAAGCTCAAGATCAGCAAGTTTTTTTGGAACTGAAGCAATGAAGTCAAAGTTCTTCGCAAGTATCGGAGGACGAGCGTGCGTGAAGAAGAAAAATCGTTTACGAAAGGAACACTGTTAGTTCGGAATCCTTACCTCGTTGAGCTTTTTTTCAGCTTCCTCCCTTAGGTTTGGGTCAAACGTACTCGACAAGATGGTGGCTAGATGTGGTATGTCCATCGCGAGGTTTATTTCGTGATAAATTGAGTACGGTATTTCTTCGCTTATTCCATGTGTAATTGGTAATTTTCGTCTTCCCGCGATTCTTCCCGGTAAAATGAGTCATGCGCAATACAACGGAGTCAGCTGACCTGCATGATTGGATGCTCAGATCGGTGAAGTGGGCAAAGATACTTTTGGACAAAAATTAACAGATTTCCAATTTTACTTCATCTCTTCATCTGGTTTCCGTAGAATGAAAAAAGTAGGATGTATCGCCATGAGAAAATTGATTCAGGAAACTTGCTGCAAACATCTATTTTAAATTTTACTTCATCTGGTTTTCGAAGGATGAAGAGTTTAGAGTGTAGGGGGTTAGAAAATCGCAGCGTATATACGGTCATAGGACGCGGAATGAAACTGGTCTTCAATACACCATAAATATAACTTTGTAAGATCTTTAATAATTC